AGTTAAATGAAATTAAATAACCACTTTTTATATTCTTTCGTTTTTCAATTTAAAAAATTTTATATATTTAAAAATATGTTTTACGTTTGTTTTTTCTATTTTTTTTATTATTTAAATAATTTCATTCGAGTTCTTTTTAGCTATTTCTCTAAAAAAAAAAAAAAAAAAAAGAAATATTCAACAGATGTTAAATCAGTATGATTGATTTTTTTTATTTGAAAAGAAGGGGTTTAACCCCAAAATCTCTCTTGAGATCTGCCAGTGTCCCTTGAAATAAAACGACATATTACATATTACATCTCCGTCGTATAGCGGTGATCGACGATGATATATACTGTTAAAAAAGTCATGTGACGTAAGTTTCAAAAAATTGTCACGATTCACCGCCTTCTCTTCATCTTCTCCCTTTTCTGTCTTCTCTTATTTTTCTTCGCGACATCTTCGATTATTCCGACCCGAACTTTCCTACGCGTTCTCAATTTTCTTTCTGGCACATCGCGAAAAAAGAGAAACTTTATAATACCGCGGTAGGGAACGTTGCAGGAATAATTCGCAGGAAGTTGTCATAGTGTAAACTTATCAGTTTTCCCTCTCTCTATCTCCGTGAGATCTACAACGTACATCGTTACATTTCCGCTTTTCCTCCGACGTTTGTAATCTCTTTTTCGCGTTGAAACTCTCAACTCGCTGAGAGTTTAATGTATACGCATTTGCGAGACGCTCTCTCTCTCTCTTTTTTTTCTCTCCTTCTCTTGAGATAATACGCTCTCTATTAAAAAAAAATTGGAAATTTAATATTAAAAAAAATTGGAAATTTAATATTCCTCGCAAATTAATAAAATTGGCATGATATTAATTGATTTAATTACTCCGCGTGATAAAATTAAATGCCATGTCTGATGGTAATAATCGCTAATGAAAATGCTTTCGCAGTTTATTGCATCTACTCGTCAAAATGTCACTGCATGGTGTATACACTGCACTTTAGTTAATGCTGTTTACACGAAACACATTATTATTACGCGGGCAGATATTGCGATACAAGTATTTGGTAATAATTCCTTAATCAAACAAATATTGGCATTATTAATTATACTCCATATATATGTCGGAAAATTTTTTAATAATAAGTTTGATGGCTTTCGAGAGAGATGCATATGATTGATGAAACCTTTGTATGTTCTGTCAAAAGATTTTACACAAAGGATTTTTATTTATCTTTTTAATATTGAAAAGAATTGTCTGACATTACATGTTGGAAAAGACAATTACACATTGATACAACAATTATATTATACTTTTTATTAATTTTTTTTAATAATCAATGTAAATAGGGGAAAAAAATAGCGCTTTAACTTCTTCGTATATTTTAACTAAATAAACTCTGTCCATTTTTCTCCGAGAATATAAAAAGTAGCTTTAAATCGCTCTTTCCACCTTTTCTCTTGCTCTTTCTCCTTTTTCACAGCCAAATTGCATTTTCTTAACAAATACTTTGCGCAAAAAATCCTTATTAAATTTAAAAATCTTTCGTAAGAACATAATTCGCGAATTTAAAAACAAAATTCGCGAATGACACAGAAAATGACTTATGGATAATAAATCCCGAAAAAAGGAAACGTCGTGATTTCCTCGATTAACAGGCAACGTCGCTGTCAAAATGCATTTTCTTATCAAATACTTTGCGCAAAAAATCCTTATTAGATTAAAAAATCTCTCGTAAGAACACGACAATTCGCGAATTAAAAAAAAAATTCACGAATAAAATTTTGTTTAAATTCGCGAATTTTTAAAAGGATTTAATAAGGATTTTTTACGCAAAGTATTTGTCAAGATAATTCATTTTGACTGTGAAAAAGGAGACGGTGCTTCAATATTAAAGATAATTCGTTGCTCGAATATTTGCCTGTTAATCGCGAAGAAAATGACTTATGGACAATAAATCCCGAAAAAAGGAAGCGTCGTGGTTTCCTCGATTAACAGGCAAAAATTCGGACAACGTCGCTGTCAAAATGCATTTTCTTACCAAATACTTTGCGCAAAAAATCCTTATTAGATTAAAAAAATCTCTCGTAAGAACACGACAATTCGCGAATTAAAAAAAAAATTCACGAATAAAATTTTGTTTAAATTCGCGAATTTTTAAAAGGATTTAATAAGGATTTTTTACGCAAAGTATTTGTCAAGATAATTCATTTTGACTGTGAAAAAGGAGACGGTGCTTCAATATTAAAGATAATTCGTTGCCCGAATATTTGCCTGTTAATCGAGAAAGAAGAAAATGACTTATGGACAATAGTAAATCCCGAAAAAAGGAAGCGTCGTGGTTTCCTCGATTAACAGGCAAATATTCGGGCAGCGTCGCGATTTAAGCACCGTTTAATTCGTCATCGTCGGGATGACTAATAGGTAGGTCCGATTCGAGTTGCGCTCGGATAATAAAGCTCGCCGGGATCTATTCATGAACGGCACGTATGAGCGAGTTTACGTACGTGTCTCTCCCTCGTATGACGCGGTCGTGCATTCGTGACGGAAAGCGCGACCGCGACGACCAAAGGAGGAGAGAACCTCCCCCTCCCTCCACCCCTTCTGCCCTTCTACCACCCACCCCTATTCCGAGAGGAGAGTGGCTCTCGACGCTGTAGCTATTTGCTAAATACGCTGTTCAATTATTCATGTGTCAACGTTGCTTTCCTTCCGTTGCTATCCATACGACCGCGGCTTATCGTCGAGCTACTAGCAATCTGCGCGAAGCAACGTTGAAGGGAACTTCTCGCTTCTCTTCCAAGATCATCGCGAATTTCATGTATCTATGTGTGCTTCCCTCGACGCTCGCGGAATTTTAATTTTCCCTGATCAACGCACAGTAGACAAATTTATGGTTTCTTGTTAAGAAGTTAGTGCAGGTTAAAATTTTTGTGTTAATATATTTAACACATTCATGTGTTAATTTAACATATTACTGTTCTGTTAATTGAATTTAAATGTTAAATTATTAAAACAACTGCTTTATTAGTGACAAGATTTATCTGTTAAAATTTACAGAAAAAAAATGTTGATTTTCTAATTTATAAGTGGGGATGATAAAAACTAAAATTAATATATTTTTTGTCAATTTTTACATTAAAAGTATGTCAATTTTACACAAAATTTATTTTTAATTATTTGAAATTTTGCAGTTATTTTGTGTTAAAATATTAACACAATATTCGTGTCCCCATTTAACATATTCATATTATGTTAAATTAACACAAAAATGTAAAAATAACACAATGTGCATCTATTTTTAATTTTACACAATAAATAGGTTCTGCTTTATTAGTGACAAGATTTATCTGTTAAAATTTACAGAAAAAATGATGATTTTCTATTTTAGAATATAAGTGGGGATGATAAAATCTAACATTAACATATTTTAAATTATTTAAAAATTTGCATTTATTTTGTGTTAAAATATTAAAATAATATGTGTGTCTCTATTTAACATATCCATTTTAACACAAAAATTTCTGTGGACCGTTTGGGACATGTAATATCTGTTAAATTTAACAGAAATTTTTTAATTGCGCGGATGTTCCGTTATATCTATATCGTTTTAGGGTTTAAATGTATAGGTATTATGGTAATTTTTTGCATCGTTTGTACATAGAGACTTCTAATTTTAAAGGTATAGTGAAACACACACACAAAGATCAGTTAATAATCTCTTACGAAGTTAATAATATTCTTACGTTCGGTCGATCAATCTAAAAATGACAGGAAAAAGAATGTTTAATGAAGTTCTTGAAAGAAAATGATCAAATATTAAACCTTATATCGTTTTCTTACACTGCTAATTATAATTTTACGGGACAGTAAAATTTTATAAAAAATATTAATAAATCAAAATTAAAAAGTTACATTTAAAATAAATATATATACATATTTTTTATCTATTCTTGAATCTGGTAATTATTATATATAATTTTTCTTGTTTTTCTGCTTTAATATTCTTGTGATTTCTTGTTAATAATAGTTCCCACAAAAATCAAGTGATTTATTTCACCATTTTCTCTATTTTGGGAAGATAAATATCTCTCTCTCCCATAGGACAACATTGTGTGTTTGAAAACCTGTAATATATTTTCGTTTAATTACTCTAGGCAGAGTCGTGCAATAAATTTACATACTACTTCATTTAATTCTGATAAAATAACATTTTTTCTTGACAGTGTAAATTTTGATATTTACGATTAGATCAATATTTTTTATAATATCAAAATAAAAATGTTTACAGACAATATTCAGTAATATTATTTTTAAATTAAAATTGAATATTTGAACTCGATATTATTTTAAATTTATCTTTAAAAAAACACATAAAATCTATATACTATAACCCAGTTATCTTGCTTTATTTGCAATTAATTATACAAAATATATATTGTAAATATTTCGTGGATATTGTTATATATATTATATTAATGTTATCAAATTTATGCTACGATGCTATCAAATGTTTTAAATAAAATTCCAATATATTTGCTCTCAAAAATTCTTTTATAGAATAAAGATACTAAATTCGATTTGATACCAAGAGAGATAAATATTTTAGTCATCGAGCAAAATACGATAAATATTATTTTCCTTATTTCGAGAACATATAAAATTTATACATAAATAAATTTATATTATATTTATATATAAATTATATTTATATGTATATATATATATATATATTTATATATATATTATATTTATATTTATATATTTATATATAAATTTATATTATATTATTCATATAACATATAAAATTTATAAAATTATAAATAACAAATTTAAAATAAAATTTCCATTTTCATACAGCCTTTCATTTCTCGCCTCGTTATGCTTCCTCAAAGTGGAGAAGCAGACATGTTATCTCGAAATATGCATAATCGAATCGAAAGCTTGCATTATTGTCAATTAGCATCATTCCGGCCAGATTCCGGGTCGCTTAAAGATTCACAGAACGTACGTACGGCATTAATATAGTTGTAAAGTGATAAACCGTCGTCCCAAGGTTCCTCTTTCTCGCAGGACAGATTCGCCGGTCTTAAATCGTGGCTGCGGTCCAGGGCTGCCAAACCGTGCGCGAAAACCTGCACGCTATCATACACCAAAGCTGGTTCTGCCTGAAACATACGTTTCCTTTTGACAAGAGTTCGCGCTTTGTGCATTTTCTTGTGCAAAACTTGAGCTTTAGAAGAACTATTGTATTACATTAACACAAAGCTGTTTTTGCTGTAGGGTAGAAATATAGGTCGAGTTTGGCTACGATTAAATTTTAACGAGACTTGTTTTCGATTCTGTGTTCGCAGAAATTAATGGGACTCTCGAATATAATTGTCATTTGTATTTATTACTCACTGTGAAAAGTTTCTTGTTTCATTTTGCAGTCAAAAATGCGATATTAAATGCATCTGTTGCGTTCAACATTGATATTACTTGCAAATAAGATTCAGTTACACGAAAATTTGTTTTCTAAGATTTCGAATTATAAATTGATGCATTTTAATTTAATATAATCCTTCAAGTTACAATTCGTACTTTTTTCCTAATATTAAATATTTTTGTATTTAAAACTACACAATTAAAAAATTTCTATTAAATTTAACAGATATCACATGTCCCAAACGGTCCACAGAAATTTTTGTGTTAATTTAACATAATATGGATTTGTAAAATGGAGACACAAATATTGTGTTAATATTTTAACACAAAATAAATGCAAAATTTTAAATAATTTAAAATAAATTTTGTGTAATATCAACATATTTTTAATGTAAAAAATAATTTTAGATTTTATCATCCCCACTTATATTATAAAATAAAAAATCAACATTATTTTCTGTAAATTTTAACCGATTAATCTTGTCACTAATAAAGCAGTTGTTTTAATAATTTAACATTTAAGTTCAATTAACAAAACAGCAATATGTTAAATTAACACATAAATGTGTTAAATATTTAACACAAAAATGTTTACGGGGACCGTTTTCAACAAGAAGACACAAATTTTTCTACTGTGTATTAAAATAATATTAAAAAGAGTACGAAAGGCAGAGAAAAGAATTGAGTAGGATGCAATTTGAAATATATTAATTTTTGTTATATAAAAATAATGAATAATTCTAATAAATTAAAAGAGCCCATTTAAAGCATTTTCAGCAGATGGCGACCATCTTCGGAGTCCTTACGAGAAAACCGTGCTTGGCGCGCTCAATTGATCCGAGTTAATGACATTGCGGCCCTGGCCGCGGGCGAAACTCACTTAATTACTGAAGGGCTGACAAAGCTCGAACTGGACACACAGACTCTGCTGACCGGTTCCATCCGACTTTTCAGCCCCTCTGCTTTTAGACTCTCGTCTACATTTGCTTTTACCGTCATTCGAATTCGATGCAATGCCATTTTGTAATGGCGTGAAATTCGTTCCACATATTGCAGAATTTAGAAATAATTTTCAATTTCGCGATAACAAACAATATTTTTTTTTACGTGTACTTAGAACTGACATATTTATTTAGTAGACAATTTTTTAATAAAATTGTACTTCTTTAAAATGCGAATAAAACAATGTGGAGAAATTTTTTGATATTATAAATTTTTGATAAGTAAATGTTATTACAAATTTATAAATTTTTTGATGAAAACACTTTCTGAAAATTGTATATATCATAAAGTTGACAGAAATATCGCGTTTTCTAGCGCATACACGCTTGAAGACAATCGTGTTTTTAGAATTAGACTTGTTTGCGTTTAATATGGTTCGCAGAACTCACGAGGTGAATTTTATCTCTGATGTCTCTTGCGACGCTCAGTAAAAAAAAAAAATAATTTAATCCCTTTTGTTGCATCAAACATAAACTTGAAATTTCCACCAACCTGAATGACTCCCGTTTTGTTCAAAATGGCATAACCAATAGCTGGCTGGAAACGTTCCATCTGCTTGAGTACTTCGGCAACCTTGGGTTCCTCCAGATCCACCAAGCGAAAGGCCGTCATATTCACGCTGTTATATTTGAAGTCTTCTAGATCGAACGTTTCTATATCCTGCAAAAACAAACAGAGGAAAGATTATTCGTTTATATCATTTTAAGTCCAGAGACTTTGTGTGTGTACTCGCAATTTATTAAAATAATATTTCCAACTTCGATCTTTTTCGTATTTTCTAAATAAACTTGTAACAGCATGATGTCAATTTCATATATTTCCAAAATTCTATCCATTATTAATTTATTCTACAAAGATCGTGGAAAAAAGTCTCTTCAATTTGGGTCATTCTTTTTTAGTAAATAGGTAGAGCTATGAATTTCTTAAACATTTTAAAAACTAAAAATAAATTTGATTTTTTCTCGAGCTATTTTTTTTTTAATTTAACTAGTTACTATTTCGATCTTTTTCGTATTTTCTAAATAAACTTGTAACAGCACGATGTCAATTTCATATATTTCCAAAATTCTATCCATTATTAATTTATTCTACAAAGATCGTGGAAAAAAGTCTCTTCAATTTGGGTCATTCTTTTTTAGTAAATAGGTAGAGCTATGAATTTCTTAAATATTTTAAAAAATAAGAATAAATTTGATTTTTTCTTGAGCTATTTTTTTTTTAATTTAACTAGTTACTATTTCGATCTTTTTCGTATTTTCTAAATAAACTTGTAACAGCACGATGTCAATTTCATATATTTCCAAAATTCTATCCATTATTAATTTATTCTACAAAGACCGTGGAAAAAAGTCTCTTTAATTTAGATTATTCTTATTTTTTAGTAAATAGGTATAGAGCTTTATGAATTTCTTAAACATTTTAAAAAATAAGAATAAATTTGATTTTTTCTTGAGCTATTTTTTTTTAATTTAACTAGTTACTATTTCGATCTTTTTCGTATTTTCTAAATAAACTTGTAACAGCACGATGTCAATTTCATATATTTCCAAAATTCTATCCATTATTAATTTATTCTACAAAGATCGTGGAAAAAAGTCTCTTCAATTTGGGTCATTCTTTTTTAGTAAATAGGTAGAGCTATGAATTTCTTAAATATTTTAAAAAATAAGAATAAATTTGATTTTTTCTTGAGCTATTTTTTTTTAATTTAACTAGTTACTATTTCGATCTTTTTCGTATTTTCTAAATAAACTTGTAACAGCACGATGTCAATTTCATATATTTCCAAAATTCTATCCATTATTAATTTATTCTACAAAGACCGTGGAAAAAAGTCTCTTTAATTTAGATTATTCTTATTTTTTAGTAAATAGGTATAGAGCTTTATGAATTTCTTAAACATTTTAAAAAATAAGAATAAATTTGATTTTTTCTTGAGCTATTTTTTTTTAATTTAACTAGTTACTATTTCGATCTTTTTCGTATTTTCTAAATAAACTTGTAACAGCACGATGTCAATTTCATATATTTCAAAATTCTATCCATTATTAATTTATTCTACAAAGATCGTGGAAAAAAGTCTCTTCAATTTGGGTCATTCTTTTTTAGTAAATAGGTAGAGCTATGAATTTCTTAAACATTTTAAAAAATAAGAATAAATTTGATTTTTTCTTGAGCTATTTTTTTTTTAATTTAACTAGTTACTATTTCGATCTTTTTCGTATTTTCTAAATAAACTTGTAACAGCACGATGTCAATTTCATATATTTCCAAAATTCTATCCATTATTAATTTATTCTACAAAGATCGTGGAAAAAAGTCTCTTCAATTTGGGTCATTCTTTTTTAGTAAATAGGTAGAGCTATGAATTTCTTAAATATTTTAAAAAATAAGAATAAATTTGATTTTTTCTTGAGCTATTTTTTTTTTAATTTAACTAGTTACTATTTCGATCTTTTTCGTATTTTCTAAATAAACTTGTAACAGCACGATGTCAATTTCATATATTTCCAAAATTCTATCCATTATTAATTTATTCTACAAAGACCGTGGAAAAAAGTCTCTTTAATTTAGATTATTCTTATTTTTTAGTAAATAGGTATAGAGCTTTATGAATTTCTTAAACATTTTAAAAAATAAGAATAAATTTGATTTTTTCTTGAGCTATTTTTTTTTAATTTAACTAGTTACTATTTCGATCTTTTTCGTATTTTCTAAATAAACTTGTAACAGCACGATGTCAATTTCATATAATTTCAAAATTCTATCCATTATTAATTTATTCTACAAAGATCGTGGAAAAAAGTCTCTTCAATTTGGGTCATTCTTTTTTAGTAAATAGGTAGAGCTATGAATTTCTTAAATATTTTAAAAAATAAGAATAAATTTGATTTTTTCTTGAGCTATTTTTTTTAAATTTAACTAGTTACTATTTCGATCTTTTTCGTATTTTCTAAATAAACTTGTAACAGCACGATGTCAATTTCATATATTTCCAAAATTCTATCCATTATTAATTTATTCTACAAAGACCGTGGAAAAAAGTCTCTTTAATTTAGGTTATTCTTATTTTTTAGTAAATAGGTATAGAGCTTTATGAATTTCTGAAACATTTTAAAAAATAAGAATAAATTTGATTTTTTCTCGAGCTATTTTTTTTTCGTTTGTGACCCAGTTACTAGTTAAATTGAAGGAAAATAAAAACTGGTTTAGTTATTGTTATAGCGTAACAAATCTCAGCCGTTCTCTTCTTTGGTTCTCGGCTAGAAAAGCTCGAGGGCAAATATATGATTTATAATTCTACGGTGATGCATAGCGACGCAGATTGTTAAGGTAAATAGCGTGGCTTTTCTGCGACGATGAGGTCGTTCACCGGCAGCTGCGTAGTAAAATTGGCCGTGAAATAGATAAAACCTCGAGCTCGCGTTCCCTAAGTGATTTCTTCCCTCGCTACCGCTTTTACACTGCTTTCCTCCGTTCGCTTTAAGTCTGCTGTCTACCCTCTTTCAAACCGCGTCGGGAGAAAGTTGCGTAACATTCTCTGCGAATATGATTTATTCAGAGACCTGAGGATATCTTTTAGGTGGTCTAATAGAAATTCGAAAGAGTGCATTAAGTTTTTTTATGTTATATTTTTGATGCGAAAATTTTTCTGAATCAACGTTAAAATATAGTACAACAATACAAACATATATTATTAAATTTGAAATTATTTATTAACAATATTAAGAATATTTTATTGCCTCTCGAAATAAATAAATATATATATATATATATATATATATATATATATATATATATATATTATTTATTAAATTTGAAAGATTATTTTACAATTCAGTTGCAAATCTTTGATCATTATTAACATTAAATTGCGTTTATAATTAATTTGTGATAGGTAAATACTTTGCTAAAATTCAACAATATCAAAATAATACATCGAAAATGTATAATCTCTATTAGATTTTGATAATATATAATAATTTGTAATAATTTTTGCAATATGTAATTTTTGAAAATAAGTTTATAAATGAGAAATATAAAACTATTTCAATAATATAAGATTTATAATATGCTAATCAAATAATTAATCGCAAAATGAATTCTGTAAATAACGCTTTTGACTGTGACATTGTTTTATCTTTATACCCAGTTTGCGCTATTATTTAACTAATATTAATAACAAAACATTAACTAATACGCAGTCAATAGTCAATAGATCGAATCTAAATGCACGTGCTCAATACAGGTTCTCTATAGTTACTATACTATAGGCTGCCATAATTAAAGTACACAGTACTATAATTACGGCAGCCTATTGTTCCGTACATTATTAAATCTGAATTACACAATATAAACAATCTTAATGTTTTAGGATGCAACAATTGTATCAAATATCATATTGTTAATCCAAATTATTTTTATATGTAAAAAAAGTTAGTAAGAGTTAGCAAGAGCCAACAACAAAATTATTTTTAAATTCCTCTATATTTATTTTGACTTAATATATATTAGGTGAAACAAAATTATTTTTAAATCCTTTATATTTATTTTGTAATTTTGTAATATTTTGTAATATTAAAATAAGTGTAGAGAGGAATTTACAAATAATAATATTTAATCTAATAAGTATATATCAGATCAAAATAAATACAGAGAAATTTAAAAATAATTTTCTTATATCTCAACTCGTTTTTATATCTCAGAATCTCTTCGATTATTGTCCAAATTATCCTCTTCGTTTCCCGAAAATTACAAATAAATCGGATAGAATAAAATTCGCTGGAAATTATTTCAAGACACGCCCGAGGGGTTAATATCTAATATCGTCGATTAAACAGAACTACATGTATATTTGCTTGCAGAAAACGAGCGATCCGATTTCTAGCGAGTCTGTCGCCGCAAAATTCGACACACATATACACGCAAGAACGCGTAGTTGAACATGGCTCTATCCCTCAGCCTGGTGCATATATAGGTACCTACTGTATGTTGGTTTATAGATAGATACAGCGCGTTTGCGGGCCGTAACTTCGGCTATGCTTGGAGCCGCGGGGTTTGTACGCCTCGTTAGCTCCATTTAAAACAGAAATTTCGGAACGGCGGGTCGGCAGAGATTGGAATTCAAGTAGGGCGGCTCAAAAGGCGACTATATCACCAAAGAAGACCAGTTTTGCTCAACCAGAACAGATGAAGCATGCAAACTTTTTAGACACACATATATATTTATTTATTTATACATATATATTTATATACAATATATATATATATATATATATATATATATGTATATATATATACAGAGTGTCTTAGAATTTTCACTAAAGAAAAATCGTCTCCAAATGATACCAAGAATCTGTCATTAAAAACTTTTCCTGCAGTTCTGGGATACTCTATATATATATATATAATTTCCTATATATATACAGGGTGTCTTAGAATTTTCACTAAAGAAAAATCGTCTCCAAATGATACCAGGAATCTGTCATTAAAAACTTTTCCTGCAGTTCTGAGATACTCTATATATATATAGAGAGAGAGAGAGAAATAGAGATGTATTTTGGATTTGCGTCGTCATTCGGAGATGTCTAATTTTCACGGTTCATTCCCCAAGACCCTAATGCGGAATAATATACGTAATAAGCTGTATACAGTGTACAAAGAGACGAGGGGTCGCTAAGAGCGCGAGGTATGTCGGTTATGAAGATGATGAATGGTATACTGAACACGGGGTGTAGTTAGGGTAGGGTAGTTTCGTCTTGAAGAACTCCTGAACTCCTCCATCCGTCTGGAAAGGTGGAGTTTACCCTCGCCTATTTCTTAAATATTGCTTGATGAATGTTGGATGAAACGAATCTCTGTCCACTGATGCTCTATTGAAGCCCAACAGGCTGTTAACAGACCATGCATAATACGCTCAATTGGAGAAATGTTCCATTATGTCCGGTAAATATTCCAAATTCATTAATAGTCCATTACAATACCTTAATTATATATTTAAACGTTGATTGCTTTCAACCGAGAAATGGATTCGCCTATTCATCTGTTTAATAGATTAGTAATCATATATATATATATATATATATAAGTATATATATAAGATTATATATATATATATATATACACAAATATATCGTAAATATTATAAATATTCAAGTCAGATATGCACAATTTAAACTCTAGTATTTATAAGCATTAGATTTAGTTTTACTTAGCTAATCTTAAATTAAAATATGATTACTTATAATTAGCTAATACTAAATTTAAATTTGCCATCTATTTATTAATCTTACAGTCGATAATTTATGATAATTCGTGACAATTTGTAATAATTCGCAATTCTTATAAATTATAAATAAACACGAGGACTAAATAATGCAATAAGTATTTCTGATTTTCGATAGTATTCCGGTGTCAAACTTTGATAATATCGAATATTTAAGTTTTTGGAAAGACTTGAATAATAAATGTGTTTTATCTTTAATATAAGATTTGAATATGATTTTAAAATATTGATTAATGTAATTGTTACCGTTCATTCTGTGGATATCATTCAGTAATTTAAGCAATTTACATTTTAAAAAATGTTGAAAACGGTGCAACATTAAGTAGCAATATCTGCAGTAAAGTAAATTTTGATTTTATGAAAAGAGAAAGTTATCACGCGACCCTGAGACGTAATCATTTATTTTTGCTAATAAAATGATATGATTAAGTATAATAATATGTTTTTTTAATTTATATTTCAACACATATATAAATAAATAGGTAACCAAACAGTTAAAATTAAAAGTTTTTGAGGAGATTTAGATTCTATTATATATCAACATTTACATGTAAACTAAGAATAATTTGTATCTATTTCCGCGACCTTCTCTTCTTTCTTCTATTCTTGTATACTTTTACTTGAAATAATCTTCTTTTGTATTTAGTCATACACTATCTGTAATACGTAGCGAACATCATGGCACACTCATCACAGAGTACCTGGCAATGGGCATTGGAATATTTTACACAAATAGATGCTGAACGTGCAAAATGCAATATATGTGCTGGAGAATTACTAGTTTTACGTTTCAATTAAGGAATGCAAAGGACCATTTAATGAGGTATCACAAGGAAGAGTTTCACAATTCTATTTCAAAGAACTCACCAGAAGGTTGGCAGTCAAAATTCGATAGAATTGGAAACTCTCGTATGAAGTGCAAATTATGTAATAAAGAAATAGTTTTATATAAACAGCAATTTTACACAAAACACTTATTTCGAAGACACAATTTAACAGAGAAAGAACACAACTTGGTGACTAAATATTTTAAGAAATTGAATTGGCAGAAACGACAATGTACAAAGTGTAATACGGTTATTGAAAATTGTAATTTTTTGGTCTTCGTGGAACATTTCAACCAGTGTTTGGATGACAATAGATCTTTAGACCTCAGAATAACGAAATAAAGGAAAAAGCGGTAAATATTATAATCTATGCTTTTTTTGAATTACTTATTAATGCGTTTACGTACAATGAATAAAATTGTGTATAATAAATTAAAATATTTAAATATTTATCATATGTATATGATAAATATTACAAATATTAAAATCAGATATGTGCAATTTAAACTCTAGTATTATAAGCATTAGATTTATTGTTAGTTTTACTTAGCTAATATTAAATTAAAATATGATCACTTATAATTAGCTAATACTAAATTTAAATTTGCCATCTATTTATTAATCTTACAGTCGATAATTTATGATAATTCGTGACAATTTGTAATAATTCGCAATTCTTATAAATTATAAATAAACACGAGGACTAAATAATGCAATAAGTATTTCTGATTTTCGATAGTATTCCGGTGTCAAACTTTGATAATATCGAATATTTAAGTTTTTGGAAAGACTTGAATAATAAATGTGTTTTATCTTTAATATAAGATTTGAATATGATTTTAAAATATTGATTAATGTAATTGTTACCGTTCATTCTGTGGATATCATTCAGTAATTTAAGCAATTTACATTTTAAAAAATGTTGAAAACGGTGCAACATTAAGTAGCAATATCTACAGTAAAGTAAATTTTGATTTTATGAAAAGAGAAAGTTATCACGCGACCCTGAGACGTAATCATTTATTTTTGCTAATAAAATGATATGATTAAGTATAATAATATGTTTTTTTAATTTATATTTCAACACATATATAAATAAATAGGTAACCAAACAGTTAAAATTAAAAGTTTTTGAGGAGATTTAGATTCTATTATATATCAACATTTACATGTAAACTAAGAATAATTTGTATCTATTTCCGCGACCTTCTCTTCTTTCTTCTATTCTTGTATACTTTTACTTGAAATAATCTTCTTTTGTATTTAGTCATACACTATCTGTAATACGTAGCGAACATCATGGCACACTCATCACAGAGTACCTGGCAATGGGCATTGGAATATTTTACACAAATAGATGCTGAACGTGCAAAATGCAATATATGTGCTGGAGAACTTACTATTTTTACGTTTCAATTACACAATGCAAAGGACCATTTAATGAGGTATCACAAGGAAGAGTGTTACAATTCTATTTCAAAGAACTCACCAGAAGGTTGGCAGTCAAAATTCGATAGAATTGGAAACTCTCGTATGAAGTGCAAATTATGTAATCAAGAAATAGCTTTATATAAACAGCAACTTTACACAAAACACTTATTTCCAAGACACAATTTAAGAGAGGAAGAACACAACTTGGTGACTAAATATTTTAAGAAATTGAATTGGCAGAAACGACAATGTACAAAGTGTAATACGGTTATTGAAAATTCTAATTTTATTGTCTTCGTGGAACATTTTAACCAGTGTTTGGATGACAATAGACCTTTAGACCTCAGAATAACGAAATAAAGGAAAAAGCGGTAAATATTATAATCTATGCTTTTTTTGAATTACTTATTAATGCGTTTACGTACAATGAATAAAATTGTGTATAATAAATTAAAATATTTAAATATTTATCATATGTATATGATAAATATTACAAATATTAAAATCAGATATGTGCAATTTAAACTCTAGTATTATAAGCATTAGATTTATTGTTAGTTTTACTTAGCTAATATTAAATTAAAATATGATTACTTATAATTAGCTAATACTAAATTTAAATTTGCCATCTATTTATTAATCTTACAGTCGATAATTTATGATAATTCGTGACAATTTGTAATAATTCGCAATTCTTATAAATTATAAATAAACACGAGGACTAAATAATGCAATAAGTATTTCTGATTTTCGATAGTATTCCGGTGTCAAACTTTGATAATATCGAATATTTAAGTTTTTGGAAAGATTTGAATAATAAATGTGTTTTATCTTTAATATAAGATTTGAATATGATTTTAAAATATTGATTAATGTAATTGTTACCTTTTATTCTGTGCAGATCATTCAGTAATTCAAGAAGTTCAAGTTTTAAAAGAGATGCTGAAAACGTTACTACAGCAATCAGTAGCAGCAAAAGATGTTGTAAAAAACATTTTGATCACTTAATAATTTACATAATTAAGAAGAAAAGGAACCAAACATATATATTCCTGATGACGAATCATTTGTTTTTGCCATTTTGATGTGTGACTTTAACTAAATTTACTTTAAATTTTTTCTTATTCTAAGTATATTAACTTATTAATTATTTATTTATATAATTATTAATTGTCATTAATAATTATTATTTATTTATTGTAACAACGATAATAAAACTTTTAAAAATTTTATAAATAAAATATTATCAGAAATAACTATAATATATATCTTTATTTTTACATTCCAACACACATATACGCACAAAATATATTTCTTTCAACTAATTTCGCATTTTCCTTGTTGTGGACTCTATATTATTTGTATTCTTTCCCTAATTTGTATAATTTCCCTCTTATTTGTTTATGTGGGCAATTTAATAAAAATTAGAGAAATAAAATAATTTTTTTTATCTTATAAAAGCTCATATTTAAAAATAGAATATTTTTTTCCCGAAATTATATAATTATGCTATTTAATATATGTTTATTATTGTATACATCGAATTTGAATTATGATTTTAAAATATTGATTAATCCAGTAATTGTTACCTTTCATTCTGTGGATATCATTCAGTAATTCAAGCAATTTACATTTTAAAAAATGTTGAAAACGGTGCAACATTAAGTAGCAATATCTGCAGTAAAGTAAATTTTGATTTTATGAAAAGAGAAAGTTATCACGCGACCCTGAGACGTAATCATTTATTTTTGCTAATAAAATGATATGATTAAGTATAATAATATGTTTCTTTAATTTATATTCCAACACGTATATAAATAAATAGGTAACCAAACAATTTATATTAAAAGTTTTTGAGGAGATTTAGATTCTATTATATATCAACATTTACATGTAAACTAAGAATAATTTGTATCTATTTCCGCGACCTTCTCTTCTTTCTTCTATTCTTGTATACTTTTACTTGAAATAATCTTCTTTTGTATTTAGTCATACACTATCTGTAATACGTAGCGAACATCGTGGCACACTCATCACGGAGTACCTGGCAATGGGCATTGGAATATTTTACACAAATAGATACTGAACGTGCAAAATGCAATATATGTGCTGGAGAAATTAATTCTTTTATAATTGACAAAGGGAATGCACGGAAACATTTAAAATGGTGTTACAAGGAAGAATATCGCAATATTACTTCAGAGAACTTACTAGAAGATTGGGAGTCAAAATTTGATAGAATTGGAACCACTCGTATGAAGTGCAAATCATGTGACAAAGAAATAACTTTATCTAAACAGCAACTTTACACAAAACACTTATTTCCAAGACACAATTTAAGAGAGGAAGAACACAACTTGGTGACTAAATATTTTAAGAAATTGAATTGGCAGAAACGACAATGTACAAAGTGTAATACGGTTATTGAAAATTCTAATTTTTTTGTCTTCGTGGAACATTTCAACCAGTGTTTGGATGACAATAGACCTTTAGACCTCAGAATAACGAAATAAAGGAAAAAACGGTAAATATTATAATCTATGCTTTTTTTGAATTACTTATTAATGCGTTTACGTACAATGAATAAAATTGTGTATAATATATTAAGCTATTTAAATATTTATCATATATATATATATATATATATATATATATATATATGATAAATATTACGATATATATATATATATATATATATATATATATATATTTATATATATATATTTATAAGATTTATAATATACTAATTTATATTTATAGATTTATTTATATAGATTTATAATATACTAATCAACAAAAATATTATATATGTATATTACAATAATAATAACAATTTAAATATTTTGAGAATGTCGAGTATTGAATAGCTTTATTAAAAATATAGATTTTCTTCCGCCCTTTCGCTTTTGATCAAAGCTAAAATAAAGATGTATACTTACAAAGGTTGTAAACATGTAGTGATATCGGTAGTCGTTCATTTGTAGCTGTAATATCTGTAACACAAAAGAAAAGCAGATTGTATATCAAGGGTATCTTCACGATTTCAACTGTTTCATCGAGCGATCGATACATTATTATGCGATACCATTAAAAATGACTTTTTTTAACATACATATTTTATACTTATATGTGCATTCATAATATATAAAATATCGTATCCACGATATGTAAAATATCGTTTCAATATGTGAACAGTTTTGCGATGGTTTTCATTTCCGATGTGTACTTTTGTGCAAATCCCACGTAAATATTTTCGCCGCAAAATGGATATATTTACAAGATTACACGTGAAATATTACACCGCGTGCATATCATTATTTCTCGCTGCCAAGAATATCGATATCCCGTCCTTTTTGCGTCTGGCTCGACATACACTTATATAAATAATTCGTCGCTTTTCATTTTTCGCGCTAAGGTCGCGGCCAATATGCATCGATCGCGGCTGCATGCATCTTCCTTCAGAGATGGAAGTCGGGGATGAAAGGAGCGTGGGATCTTTCCCGTAGGAAAAACGTTCGAAGAGAGAGGGAAAAGGTTAAAAGGATATACGAGAACCGCATGAAAGCATAGACGTTTTTTGATTACTCTCGACCGGTCGAGAGGGACCTTATCCTCGGAAATTCTCGAGGGACGCAACATGCAAATAACAGGTCCGCTTCGATCCGCGTCTGAAGTAAGATTGCCTTCCCGGGGCGCCGTCGACAAAATCGAGAAACGCCGGTAGACGAAATCTAATCCCTCTCTCGTGCTTCCGATGTATTTACGGTCTTAATCCTTAAGATTGCGAACGAAGTTTACCACGTCTCCCGAAACTTGATTACACTTCTCTCTGTGTAGAGCACAATTGTTTTACTCTTCTCGTTCTGTGCAATTGCGCTCTGACTTTGGATCCTCTTTCATTTTCCTCTATTATAATTTTATATCGAAAAACTTTCTTGTTAAATTATTTGTTCTAATTGCGCCACTGGAAAAAAATTATTAAATTCAAATAAATATTTATTTCAATACTGCCAAATTATTTATTTGAAACTAATAATATTTATTTGATGTGAAACATTTATTTGATATAAAAAAATGTTTTCCAAAACTAAAAAATATTTATTAGAAAGTTTTGTCTAATAAAACCTTCTCGTAAAATTATTTGTTCTACTTGCACCACTGGAAAAAAATTATTAAATTCAAATAAATATATATTTTAATACTGCCAAATTATTTATTTGAAACTAATAATATTGATTTGATGTGAAACATATTTATTTGATATAAAAAATGCTTTTCAAAACTAATAAATATTTATTAGAAAATTTTGTCTAATAAAACCTTCTCGTAAAATTATTTGTTCTACTTGCACCACTAGAAAAAAATTATTAAATTTAAATAAATATATATTTTAATACTGCCAAATTATTTATTTGAAACTAATAATATTGATTTGATGTGAAACATATTTATTTGATATAAAAAAATGCTTTCCCAAACTAATAAATATTTATTAGAAAGTTTTGTCTAATAAAACCTTCTCGTAAAATTATTTGTTCTAATTGCGCCACTGGAAAAAAATTATTAAATTCAAATAAATATTTATTTCAATACTGCCAAATTATTTATTTGAAACTAATAATATTGATTTGATGTGAAAAATATTTATTTGATATAAGAAAATGCTTTTGAAAATAAAATATTTATAGGCAGAATTGAAATAAATATTTATTAATATAATTTTTTGTTCCAGTGCGTATACATGTAGTTAATTTATTACTGCGTAAATTAAATCCGTTCCTAACAATTTGTCTCTTTATCCACGTCAAGAATGTTTACGAGTGGGAAAAGGAGAAACCACATATAATTACATTACCTAAATTATGCCCGACTAACGTAGTCGTAAATTTATTTTCGTATTTACGTCGTACTCAATTTTGTTGTAAATTAAACACTGAATTATTTATGAGTTACCGTGTGTTCTCGTTACGTACATAAATTACGACAGGTCGCGGTTTTCTCACGCGGTATTGAGATGCGTGCATATCCTATATATACGTATATATCCTATACGTCATAATGAGTAAATTTCAACGTGTTTCAAACGACATTATCGACAAAACTAAAAATGCGCCCGATAACGCGACGCGTGTGTTTCAATGCTGAATAATAATCGAGGCGTGCATTTCCGGCGCGGTGATCATTTCCGTCCGATTATGCAAATTTTTCTATTCGTCGGCCGGGCACGCAACAACGTTCGGAAAAGTGTCGGGAATGACGATGAAAAATATCGGGAGAGCTTTTATCATTTTCCGCGAGCACGATTTGCGATTTGCTAGGACTCTGTTTTCAACGTTTGTTTCGTTTACCGTTCAACAATTCTCACCATTTAATTTGACGATATGCTGATCTGCGTCGTGGCTTCTACGCGAATAAATTATTAAAAACATTTTGGAGCCGTCATCGCGCAATTGTAAATTATTCACAGTTCAAAATCATCATAAATTATTATTTATAATAATAAATTATAAATACATAAATATGGGCATATCGATAGTTGTATAAAAGAAAATCAGAGAGATCTTTAAATACACCATAAAAAATTATTATACAAAATGTGATATATATATGTATATATAAAGGCTTTGTTTATATTTTATATCTATTGATACTTATATGTATTTATATAAATTTGACCTGAAATAATGCACATAAATTATTTACACCAATTTATAAATAATAAATAAAGCATACATATATGTATGACTTATACTTGATTTATTATTCTTTAAATATTCTTCAAATTAATATTCTCTATCTTACCATGCGATCGCGCATGACTATTGTTACTAAATTATTTTTACCAGATGTTCACAAACGAGAAAGAGTATCCTATCCATTCTGACAGATAATCCGACGGATAATTTAATTAGCACGGAGCCGCGAGATTCGAATCAGCTGTTCTTTGCGCAGCGCAAAAAACTTCCGGGATATACAATTTTTTTGCGCGCGATGTCTCTCTCCCGTTCCTTTTCTTTTCTCCCGAGTCGCGAAGCAGAGTCCCAAACTAGAAAGCAAAACAAACGTCGGGAGGAAAAACTGCAACGCAGTGGCCATTAATCCTAATTGTAAGAGTCCTTTTAATCTCCGCGCGCAGACCCGAGTACTCGTACATGATTCTGGAAAGTTATTTACGGCATGCGTGTTCCTCCTGTGTTTATTCCCCCTTTTTTTTTTTTAGTTTTACATCCGGTAAACAACTTGTTGTCTCATCAGCTTCATCCGTTCGCATATGATCACCGGGAGCTGCTGCTTTTCCTAAGCGCGTCGCTTATTTCGACGCGGTTTGACAGATGCCTCGGATAGGTATTAAGATTAAGTGTCCTCCGCCCGGATGACGGAGGATGATCATTTATATAATCCACGAGGGTGTGCGTTGAAACTCTGCCTTCGCCGACTGCATCGATCAATATTTGTAGTTTCCCGCGTTTTTCCAAACGGAAGAAATTTGCATCGCTGAAGCTCTATTTTCGCTTTTCCCGCAAAGTAAATTTGAAATGTTCCATCGACACATGCAGGGTGACTCAAAACTATTTGATGTTCTGGAAATATATTCTTGAACGAAGTCTGAGACCATTTTCCGAAATTTCGAGAAAGGCCATCTTTTCGTAATTAAGCCTTAAATTAAAATTCTATTAAAGTAAATTCTACACACTAAAAAAATTTGTTAAATAATAAAAATATTTAAAGTAAATGTAACCTTAAATCTAGCAAAACGTATATTTGACTTAAATACTAATATATGTTTAATTAACAAAATAGTGATTTAGTTAAAAGATTTAGTCAAGTTAACACATTTTTTTTACAGTGCATGAAATTAATAAAAGAATGTGATTTTATTAATATTTTATTTCCTCAAGGCTTAGTTTGCAAAAAAACCCTTTATTTTCAAACGCTTGTAACTCGAAAATTATTGATGTCTCGACTTTTTCGTTGAAGAAAAATCGTCTCAGAATTCGTTCAGGAATATAATATAATATTTCCAGGACATCAGATTGTTTTGAATCACCCATATATTATAAATCCGTTCGTCTGTAGCAATTTTCGTATTTGCGAATCAAATAGATGGAAGAAGATGAAATAGCAAAGCTTATGGAAAGCAGATAAATTTGATATTTATTAGCTAATATTTTTATTTCGATACATACACACAAGAAGGAGCAAATCCTTGAATAATAGCGTCAATAAATTTCCATTTACATAGAATCCTTTCCTCTCTTTTTTCTGATGCTCTTTCATTGTATAGTGTTTCGTTTTATTGAAAAAAACGTGAATTCATTTGGATAAAAACAACTTGTCAGATTAGTCATGCAAGAGCTTAAGCGGCGCAGAAAAATAAGATAGACATATATATATATATATATATATATATTTTTTTTTTTTATTTCCCTGCTCTGCTTATCGAAGTATAACAGTATTTTGAACGTGATGGAAGAGGAACCTAACATGATCGATATGTGTGAGAGGCAAAAAATGGAGATTATAGAGAGAAACTTTTTTCTTCGAAAGACTCGTAAGAGAAAGAAAAAGAATTCGAAGTAAAAGTTTTTTAAACGCTCGACAGACTCTCGTATACAATTTTAATGTCCCACCTCAAATAAGTTTTTTATTTTTGATTGTAGAAAAAATGTTTCAGACAAAAATTGTATGATTTTGAGGAAGACATAAAGTGGTGCCATTAGTTTGACCTTGAATAGTTGCTTGAAGGTCACGTAAAGGTCACCTTGAGGTGAAGAGATCTTGTCTTATATAACTCAAAAAGTACTTGAGATAAAAATGTTTTATTATAGTGTTTTGGAAAGCTCAAGGTGACCTTCACATGACCCTCAAGCAACTATTCAAGGTCAAACTAATGGCACCACCTTATGTCCTCCTCGAAACCATATAACTTTTGTCTGAAACATTTTTTTCGACAATCAAAAATAAAAAACTTATTTGGGGTGGGACATTAAAATGGGACACCCTGTATATCGAACATCGAATAAAATCGTGAAAAATGCATACATATATATAAAACTTACCGCGCGAAAAAATTGTTGCATGTGCGCCGGATCCGTGTCGACGATCAGCTTGAAGATCTCTTTGTGTCTAACTTCCCGCAGGACCTGCCGGTAGGATCTAGGACCCGCTTGACGAATGTACATCTCGGTTCTCACGGACGGCGGGGATTTCACGAGATCCTGGAGTTTGAACAGCCCTGTAAAACAGAGGAGAAAGATATTCTCACGCTGGACTTCATCATGGCGCGCCTTCATCCGTATATTTTTCTTTAATCTTTCTCGCTAAAAAGGGAGAAGAGGCGTCTTGCAAAATATGACTAACGTGTTTCCCGGATTCTTCTCTTTCTCGCTTTCTCTGAATATTTATTTTCAACTACGAATTTAGCAAGATTTTTTATACATATTTTCAAGCAACGTAAATAAAATTTTATACGAATTTTATATTAATTTTTTATTTTTTTACAGAAATTTTATTTTAATATTATTTTTCCAACAATGGAAATAAAGTTTTACTAGTTATTTAGATTAATGAAATGTTTGAATCATTTTTAAAAGCTTTCATAGTTTTTTAATTAATTGTTTTTATTATAATTATAAGAAAAATGAGATTGCTATTATTCAAACTCATTGAATAGAATATATTGTTAGGGGAAACTGAATTGAGCAAAATACGTATTAGTAGAGGAAAAAATGCACTTTGTGTGCGAAAAGTAATAAATAAAATAATCGATTCCTCGGAGAAGAAAAAAGGTTTCTATATACTGTAATTTGATCAATAATATATGTTATGTAGAAATAAGTTATTTTCACGTACAGATTATTCAAACGTAAAAAAAAAATAATAATAAATGCATTTCTATGCGATAGAAACGAGCTGTAAAACTCGTACTTGTTTGCGAATCGAAGAAAGGAGAATGGGAGAGAGGGAAGATCGTTAATTTGATTTCTAGGGGATTCAACACACATATCACGTCTATACAGGGTGTCTGATATAAAGTGTCACACCGATAATATACAAGTAGATTTTGTCATTTGAAGACGATTTTTCCTCAACAAAAATGTCGAAGAAGGTCATCATTTTTTGCATGTTCTTAAATTTTGCCATCATGTATCTTTATAACTAAATCTTATATTAAAATTGTATTAAAGTAAACTCTACTTGAAATTAATTGGAGAATGTGATTTTGTTAATACTTTATTTCCACAAGCCTAAGTTTGCGAAAAACCCTTTATTTCCAATCGCTTATAACTTGAAAATGATTGACGTCTCAAGATTTTTTGTATTACACGTGCAGGCAAAGTGGTACTTTGTGTGCATGTTTTCTGTGCGGAAAGCGGCCGATTTCCCACGCCGCCATCTAACGGCGACGCGGTGAGTGAATAAGCCGCGTTCAAAGCCATTGCCTACGGCTGAGTCGCGGTCCAAATCATTGCCCACGGCTATTCCCGCACCGTGCCGCAGCAAGATGGCGGCGTGCGATCGGCCACCTCGCGCACAGAAAACGCGCACAAAGCCACTTTGCTTGCACTTGTAATACAAAATAATATGTGTATCACGTGCGGATTGACAATTGTTCACTCGTGACCAATTGTCAACTTTCTGCACTTGATACACAATATACTATACTGAGGAAAAATTGTCTCCAAATAACAACATCTACCTGTATATTTTTAGTGTGACACCTTATGTCAGACACCCTGTATATGTCGAGTTCTATCAAGTACGGTGTACGGGAGGGGACTTTTCATAAACTAGTTTGATAGCATTAACAGAATTCGCGAAGAAATGTCGGTAAAAAGACGAGTCCCCGACTGTAGCAATTCGCCTTCCAGCCGATTGTTCCTCGACTACTTCCTAAAGTTGCGCTGTCGACTCGAGTTTTCCGCGTGCACAGAATTCGTTACATGCGGTTACATTTGCTCCGCGTTCATTCCTCTGACTTCATCAACATCGGTTAACTTTAATGACAGTTTGACTGCTTCTGTCTCCCTCTCTTTCTTCATTCTCATTTCCATTCCCGAGAGAGACGCCGAATTATTCAATTATTAATGCGACGCTTGAATAATTTAACGCCCTATCGGTATAAAATATGTACCTTCATCGCTGAAAGAGGACTTTCATGAAGGATACATATAGAAACGAACAAGAAGCGTCACCATTAGCTCGAGGCTAAATGCATTCGGCGGATTAAATACCGTAAATTTCCAAGTCTTCTCTCTCGTTCTCTCTCTCCTGACTTTGGACCGAGAGGAGGCACAAATCTTTGACAAAGTTGCGAGATTCTACGGCGTAATCCTACTTTTCCGTATTTCTGAAAGAGACTTACTCGGACATACTCGGATAGGTGCCGCCAACTTTGAGCTCGCTAATTACTCCCCCAATCCTTCTCTCTCCAACTCCTGTAACGATCGTGACGAATAGAGCAGCGGCAAGAAGGGGATCGATAAACATGGCTAAAGGACGACGAAAGGGAGGCGGAAGATAAATCTCCCGGCGCGTTAACGAGCGAGAGAGGACTGGCACTTTCTCGACAAAACGTACAATTCGAGAAAAATGATAAACTTCACTTGCGGAATAAAACTCGAGATAATTGCAGCTTATCCTTGCACGGTAGAAACTTCTCCTTCCGTTCGTTTGTGGACAAATAGGCTGACTAATCAATTTCGGGATATTAATCTTCAAGAATCAGGATTTTTTATTGCTATAATTTGAATTTTGAAACATGGCGCGATTATTTTTATTGCATATTATTTTTTAATATAAATAATTATTAATTTAATATAAATAATTATTAATTTGAAGTTAGTTAAACTGATAAAATTCTTGAAATTAACATCATCAATCGAACATAAGAATAATAAAATATTAACACAAAGATTTTTTTATTATACAAAATACAAATAATAAAACAAATCTATATCGAATTTTAGTACGATCTATTGTTGTTTTATATTATTTAATTTTATGTTAATATTTTGAAAAATGATAAACTTTACTTACAAAATAAAAATCGAGATAATTGCAGCTTACTTTTCTTCTTTCGTTCGTTTGTGTACAAATAGGCTGACTAATCAATTTCGGGATATTAATCTTCAAGAATCAGGATTTTTTATTGCTATAATTTGAATTTTGAAACATGGCGCGATTATTTTTTATTGCATATTATTTTTTAATATAAATATAATAATTATTAATTTGAAGTTAGTTAAACTGATAAAATTCTTGAAATTAACATCATCAATCGAACATAAGAACAATAAAATATTAACATAAAGATTTTCTTATCATACAAATAATAGAATAAATATCTATATCGAATTTTAGCATGATCTATTATTATTTTATATTATTATTTAATTTTATGTGAAAAATGATGACCAATCAATTTCAGGATATTGATCTTGAAAAATCAGCATTTTTGTTGCTATAATTTTAATTTTGAAACATAGCGCAATTGTAATTTTTTATTGCATATTATTTTTAATATAAATAATTATTAATTTAAAGTTAGCTAAATTGATAAAATTCTTGAAATTAACAATCATTAATCGAACATAAGAGCAATAAAATATTAACATAAAGATTTTCTTATTGTACAAAATATAAATAATAAAATAAATATCTATATCAAATTTTAGTATGATCTATTATTGTTCTATATTATTTAATTTTATGTGCAAAATTGTGACAAATAGTGTCTAAGGTTTTTTTGGGACGCTTTTATTGAAAGTCGAAATTCGGGACTCTATAAACAAGACAATACTTAGGAACTTTCAAGATCTTTATTTTAATGACACCTTCTTCGATCGAGATTGACGTCGACATTTCTGGTACAGAAATAGCGACAAGTGGGAAAACGAGGGAAAATTTCGCAAAACTATTAAGAGAGATGAAATCTATTCTCCTGGAAGAGAGTCTCTTTTCAGAACTTTCCATTCTTGTATTATATGTGTTTTTCTTTTCTATTTTCTTTCTTTCTTTCTCTTCTTTCTTCCAATATTTCCAGTTTTTCTCTTGTAGATCTCTATTCCATCTTCCATTATCAGTTTCTCTATCTTGTCTTCCACTTCCTTGATCCTCTTTTCACATATATATATCTCCCATAAATTCTTTCATTACATTCATATCTTTCTCTGTCATCTTTTTTATCGTCTTCTACACAGTTGAAAAATTTTTGTTAAATTTAACAGACATTAAAGGTCTCAAGCGATCCATTGAAATTGTTGTGTTAATTTAATATAATATGTATTTAAAATAAATGTTATGTCAAATTAACATAGTTTTAATGTAAAAATTGCCTAAAAATATGTTAATTTTAGATTTTATTATCCTCACTTATATTATAAAATAAAAAATCAACATTTTTTTCTTGTAAATTTTAACAGATAAATCTTGGCACTAATAAAACAGAACATATGTATTGTGCAAAATTACAAATAGATGTACTTTGTGTTATTTTTATATCTCTTTTCAATTCTTTTAATATTAATTCAACATTTAAGTTTAATTAACACAACAGCGGTATGATAAATTAACACATGAATATGTTAAATGTTTAACACAAAAATTTTAACGGGAACCGTTTTTAATAAGAGATCACTTTTTTCTACTATGTATACATTTCTATATGATTTTTTAAAAATTCCTATTCAATATATTTAATTAATAATAATTAAATTAATTTAGTAACAAATAAATTTTGTCACTAATAAAACAGAGCATGTTTATTGTGTAAAATTAAACATAGCTGCAATTTATGTTATTTTTACACCTCTTTTCAGACGTTTTAATAATTTAACATTTAAGTTCAATTAACAGAACAGTAATATGGTAAATTAATACATGAATGTGTTAAATATTTAACACAAAAATTTTAACGGGGACCATTTTTAACAAGAGAACACATTTCTATATGATTTAAAAAAGATTTCCTCCCAATCTATTTAATTAATAATAATGAAATGAAATTAATTATGTAAATAGAGCATAGAATAGAGGAGTGCAAATATCTCAAATAATAAAGGATTATAATGAAGGTCGTAGGGTAGCTTGCATTTATATAGAGATTCCTAGAGTACCGCGTTCAAGAAATGTGTGAAATGAAAAGTAGGAAGATTGCACACGCAGCCGCTAGTCCAGTTTACAAAATTAACTCCGTTAGATAACGGTAACTACATGCAGTGCTATATTTGAGAA